GCATCACTGAGAGTTTAGTGAAAATGCAGAATCTCAGGCCTCACTCCAGACCGAATCAAAATCTTCAATAAGATCCCTGGGTGATTCATAAGAACATTCAAGTTTGAAAAGTGCTGCTGTAGACCACTGCCAGAGTGGAATCCAACCCTCCAATTTTTCTGTATTTCCTAAGAATTTGCCACTTCTTCTTTTTGAGACAGGATCTCGCGCTGTTATCCAGGCTAGAGTGCAGTGGCATCATCATAGCTCACTGCAATCTCAAACTCCTGGGTTCAAGTGACCCTCCTGCCTCAGACTCCCAGGTAGCTGGGTCTACAGGTGCACGCCACCACACCTGGCTATTTTTTCTGTTTTTTTATAGAGACAAGGTCTGTATTCCTCAGGCTGGTCTTGAATTCATAGCCTCAAGTGATCCTTCTGCCTCAGCCTCCTAAAGTGCTAGGATTGCAAGCATGAGCCACTGTGCCTGGCCCCACTTCTTATCTTCTAATCCTGCCACATATAACTTTTAATTTTTACTTTTTCTGAATTTGCTTTACTAGCTGTAGTGGGTTTTCTCTGCCTGCTATAGACATAGTTGTGTCCTTTTTCCTTTTTACTCCATGGCAGAAGACAACAGAATCCAGGCCCAAGAGGATTGAGGGTAAAGAGAAGGCAGCAGACCCATTTCCATCTATGCCTTTGTGTCTCTAGGAAATAGTTGTTTCCAAAGCTACATCATGCATAACATTCAAGATATTTTGCCTATAAGACATCCTCAATCATATACACAAAAAGAGAAGGACTTGACACTTTTCTTTTTTTCTTTAATTTTATTTCAGAATATTACAGGAGTACAAACGTTTTGGTTACATAAATTGCTTTTGTACCATTTGACCCTTTTTCTTTTTGTACCATTTCAAATCCTGTCTTCTTACTGAGGCTAATGTTCTATCCCTTCCTTGGAGTCTTCCACAACTAGTCCCCATTATTATTATTTTTTTTTTGTCATTCCTGAGACATGGTACACCACACAGTTGAACACTTAATTTTTATTCTATCTTCTAGTCTTACATAATTGCTTCATGTGTCCTCCAACAGGAATGTAAACTTCTTCAAGTTAGAGTCTATATATTGAACACTAAACCTAGCACAAAGTTAGAGTCTGTATCTTGAACACTAAACCTAGCACAAAGTTGTAGATTACATAGTAGGTGCTAACTATAAAAGATTGTTGATTTATACCAGTCAGGTTCTATATCTTTAAGGACTACCTATTCTCAAAGAACTACTCTTAGGGAGATGAGCAGAATTCCATCAGGAAGCTGTGTTTTTTCCCTCCAAAATAAGAAGATAAGAGTTAGAAAGAAATGTATGGGCATAGGGTGGGAGCTATGTGTATAGGACACATATCTATTTAATCATTCTCTCAGTTAGGTTTTCGACCTGTCTCTATTGGCTCCTTTCTTTTTGCTTACATACGTAAATCTCTTCCATCTTTAAAAATCCTT